CACCAAATTGTTTTTCTTTTGCCGGCATCTGTCAGATGCTTCATTATGCAGTGGGAGTCCATCGCATGCGTTAAGTTCAGCGTGCAGCGTTATTTTTTTTATTATTTTTTCTTTTCTTTCTTTCTTTTTTAATTTTCCTATTTTTAAAAAAAATGTACATTATTTTTCAATTTTTTTTTTCATTCTTTTCACTTATTTTTTATTCTCCTCGGTACCCCGGAGGTACTGAGCAGAATAGTTGAGCCAAATGCCGCTCGGCTGCATTTGGCTATTTACTTACTGCCGTTCGGCCCCTATGGCTCAGCTGATCCAGATGAGTCGAACTCCTTCTGCACTTCGGCTCAACCGAACATGCAGAGCATGTTCAGCTGACCGAAGGCAGCCAATGTACGGCTGATTTTAGCCGATGTGCGGCTGAAATCAGCCGTACAAGACTGAAGTGAATAGCCGAACAGCGTTTGGCTCACTTCACTACGGCTGGGTTATTCACTCGCCTGACTTCGGCAGCTTTGTGAATAACCCCCTTAGTTACTAGGGACCTGGCTTCCTGATTTAATTAGCTTCCCTGTTGCTAGTATGTCTTTACCTTGCGTGTAAAGTAATTTTTTGCCAGCTTTCTTCAAAGAGCTGTATTACACGAAGGTTATGGTGGGAAGAGACTAAAGAATTTAAAAAAGCCTGCCAACCAAATCAGTGCGTTGCACAGAAGAGCCTTCTTGGGATAGAGGGATATTCACAAATCTCATTCCATCACATATCCTAAAAATAAGAGGGTAATTCCTCATTTTAGGACAGTGGGTGTAGTCATGAAAATCATTCCTTTAGCCGATTGCACATTCCGAAGCGCTAGTGTATAGATCAGATACAGCTTAATATTATTAATCCATTTATTCCAAGCTGCATACAGCTCTTTCATGCTTTTTGTCCATCAAATTTCAAATATCTGTAAAAGAGTTTTAGTTTTTCTTAATATTACAGCTCTCTCTTGACATGAGCACTGCAACTTTCATAGACACCAGAGCTTGCCCATTCACAAAAGGCAGCATGCTGTGTGCATGCTGTTGGGGAGATTTTCCTTCACCTTCTGTCCCAAAGAAAAAGCAGAAAGAAAAAGTCTTCACTGGAACAGATGTCCCTATTGTAAGATTTCCCCTCACCTCTTCCAGTAACAACCATACATTTTGGATTTCCCATCACTTTTTGTTACAGTGCCAAACAGAGGGGAGAATCTACCAAGAGGGGGACAACAATCATAATCATGGCAGAGGCTCTAACCCTTTCACATTCTTTCCCAATATAATCTATAATGCGCATTTGATGAAGGTGTGTGTATTAGCTCAGTTGAGTTACAATACAATTATGAATTACTTTCTTTCTCAGAATTGCCTGTAGAGACAAAGGTCCACTAAGGGCTAATAGACTGCAATGGAATTTTCACTTTGTGAAGGAATTTTCGCTTTAAGGGCAATTCAACTTTCCCAGGCAAATTTTGGAAAATGGGATTACACCCTACCAATCTGCCCCCTCTCAACTCCCGCTACTCTTACCTTGGAGTGAACACTCATTCCCCTCCGCAGCTGGCAGTGCACTGTTTTTACATCATACACTGCAACGCAGCCCTGGTATTTTAAATTCTGCTCACAAATAGTGAGAACTCATTAGTCAAAACTTCTGACTTCGCTGACCAGTTAGAATAGCTTTTAACTGCACTGACCAATAAAAAGCACTTCTTCTTGCTTCTGGTGCTTCTTCTTGCTGACCACTGAGTGATCGCCATTTGCAAGCGGAATTGAAAATACAGAGCGCAGGGTTGTGCTGTTGTGTACCATGTACGAATCTATACCGTCAGCCGCAGAGGGGAAGGAGCGTTCACTCCAAGGTAAGAGCAGCTGGGGGCAGATTGGTGGGGGTAATGCCATTTTCCCAAATTCACCTAGGAAAGTGGAATTATGGTTTAACTTAGTGAATGAGGTGAAGCTCTGCTGGCTTCCATGATCCAATCATGGGCAAGCTAAATACTTTTTTTTTTTTTTTTTAAAGCTCATGATTGGGTATTCTTTGCAAAGTGGATTTTCACCACATTCACTTAGGTAAGTGCAAATTCCCTTGCAAAGTGAACAACCTATGTGTCTTAGTAAATCTTCCCCTTTTACTTATTTTGGGAAAGTGAATCCAGTTCATATGAGCAATAGCTCTACTTTTGATTCAACTTTCATAAACACACGGTCATACACATCATAATCACACAGTTACACACAGCATACATACGGACACACACACACAGAGAAAGTGACAATTACCATTTTCATATCTACAATGGAGTCTGTACATTAGAAAGCATTTCTGAGTCACAAGAACTTGGCAATATTTGGGACACTATAAATACAACAAGAAGATCAGGCCAAGTAGCCATAACAGGTGTTTGAATTGCTTTCTTAGCTTTTCTTAGCTGCTTCACTGGAAATGAAGCCACCAAGAAGTTATGAACCATCCATAAACCCTTTGGTACTCTTTAGAAAACACCAACTTACCCACACGAAACATAAGAAGCACATTTGTTTCTCTATATTATTTGCAAACAATAAACCTTGATCACTGTCAATTTCTAGCTGCATCACGTATACAGCTGATTACTGTGTATTAGAATGTATGTAAACCCATCTTTATCCCTCTAGGCAGTGGCGGAACTACCACCGGTGCAGCTGGTGCGGCCGCCACGGGGCCTCAGCCTCAGTTGCCGGTCGCCGTATAGCACCGGATCGGTATCCAGCGGCCGGCCGGCCCGCAGTCTCTGCGCCCCCAGTCTCAGGCAGACACGGCCCTCTAAACAGGCACTGTACAGGGTCGCCCGCAGGGGCCTCCAGAGGACCCACTTGAGGAGTGAGCTGCAGCCGATTAGAGAGCCGGATCTGATGCGGCCTGGCAGACAGGGAGCTGCGGTGACGGCCGCACGGTCAGTGCACCCTGCGCCCCCCCCCCCTCGCTACGCCACTGGCCGGGAGTGTCAGATGTGCAGATGGCAGAAAGCCGGCAGAGGGATGGAGCAGCTGCAGCCACAACAGACTCCCCACAACCAGGGTCCAGGGGTCCCACTGACCACCAGGCTAAGGTAAGGCTAAATTTTTTAAATAAAATCCCGGGACATTTTAAAATGTTTTATTATTTTATGCTCCCGGGACATTTTTAAATGTCTCGGGAGCATAAAAGAAAACATTTTTTTTTTTTTAATACTCACCTGATCCGATCCACCGACAAGCGCAGCGTAACTGCGGGAAGAGAGCGCTGTGTTTGTGGGGGTTTTTTTTTGGGGGGGGGCAAAAACAAAATCTTGCACCAGGGCCCTTTGTTCCTTAGGTCCGCCACTGCCTCTAGGCATATAAGTTGGAGAGACTACCAATAACCAATCTTTGCAAAAAATGATAAACCTTTCTTTTAGGTTATTTATCAGGGGTCACGTGATGAGTCCCTTCTTCTCCATACTGCACAGCCCTGGTCTGTGGGCGAAGCTAAATCGTAGACCTTCACATGTCTTGGTGGCATCACTACAGTTTATATCAGTCTTCTGCCTTGGCGGTGCAGTGTTTTAAAAGCGCTGTCATAAAGATACTGCTCCAGGGGGTCATTCAGCTCACTTACCAACCCCTCGGTGCTGAATAAATTGGGCCCGCTCTTCTTCAATGCACCTGCATTTTTTTTATTTCAATTTGCCTTGGCTTGCAAGTAGCCTCAAGTAGCAAAAAAGCTTTTTGAAATTTAA